GGCTTAAATTTATCCATCTATAGAAGGTAGAAAACAGAAAGTATGTTTGTAAACACACACAAACTTTAATATAGTAATCCGTGTCCTTCGTTAATTGCAAATATCTTCACAATAACAATAATAATAATAATTGACAGCTGTTTTAATTTAATAAATTGTTAAGGTAAAATTTAGATAAACGCAGTTAGGTACTTGTTATTTCTTAAAAAGTAACTTGGCTTAGTCACAATCATTAATTGAATATATTTTATTTTTTATAACAACAAAAATTAGACACGCAGGGATGGGATAGATTTTTTTATAATAAAAAAATATATTTCAAACATGTTTCAAATAAACCAGAACAATTTCTTCACATTTTAAAATAATATTCAAATTTCATAAGATTTCTCCTGGGTATTAATTAACATGATTTTTGAAAATGGAGCACTCTGTATATTATCGTATTTTTTAATTTATGATCTACTTTAATAAACAAATATTTACTGCCTGTTACGGTATGGATTTGCTTATTTGATCGAAATGGTAAAAATGTCGAATGGCGTAGTTTTAAATCTGCATATTCACACGACACATCCTCAATTGAATTTAACGCTTAGAATAAATTATTGTGCTATATGATGCCGGGTAAAGGGCTGTAAGCTGTAAGATATACCGTTTCAGAGTTTTTTGATGTTTTTTCAATTTCGTTTCTAACATCACCGGTATTAAACACAAGAAATGAGTTTTTTTAACTTTAATTCAAGCATAAAAAAACCTATTCCCTACATTACTTCATACGTTTCAAATAGAAAAATATAAATTTTATGTTAAATTTTACGCAGGCGCAAAATACATTTTTCGAAATTATTAAGATATGATAGGGTTTATTTAAAACTTATAGTTTACGTCAACATTTTTGACGCTAGCTAGAGCCCCTCATTAAATAAAATCCAAGTTTTTCGTGTGGGGATTTATAAAAAGTAAAGTTTATTTTTTGCTTCCCGCCTGGAGATTTAACATTTCGAAAAAAATATAAAAAATCGCCGATGAAAAACCCAGTTTCTTTTTTAGAAGAAAAAAAATATTCACTGATACATGGAATTGCATATAAATAAAAAATACCTGTAAATCGAAGTCAATAAATACCACAGTATTTTTGTATCTAATTCCTCAAAACTATATTAGGACTAGGCTTAAGAGGATAACGACTTGCTTTATTGACGAACGTAAAATTAGTTAAATTTAATTAAATTCTGCCCTTTTTATTGATATATAGATGGCTGTGAAAACAGCGTCCAATTGTATTGGTTAGTCGCTTACATGTAAGTCTACAATATACTGAATTTCGAAGTCAAAAAGCGTTTGTTTATAAAGAACCTCGTAAATAACAGACTGTACGTAAATTGTTTCAATCAACACTTATTATAATTATGTAAACAATACGTAACATAACAGATACCATTATTTCGTAGATAATTATGACCCTGCCGTATTTATGTAATAAACTGTTTATTTTAATTTTTATTCATGCTAGGATTCATTAACCTTTTTAATCGTAGAGTTAATTTTAGTACCAGTTATAAAATTATACATAATAAACAATGTTTACAAATGTATTTATACATCTCATTTCTATTCTACGATTATTTCACTAGTATTTTATCAATAAATGCAAAAGTTTGTCTGCTATCGACAAAAATTAATAACCATAGACAGCGAACGTGACATAAGTACATTATAATTTATCGCAGTCGGTAAAACACAGTTTATTTAACTTGCTATCGTTACTATTACTACGGTAGCAAAAACAGAGATCTATTAATACTCCACTACTATTGATAGAATTTGTAATATTTAAAACATAATTATTGTTCAAAGTTAGATAGGTTCTGTCGTACTGAAGTAGGACAAGGCACCACAGCATTGCACACGGCAGTTTCAAACCACTATCTTTTTTCACAAGGCAACATAAGTATATCTAGTACAAACCAACAATTCATAAATTACTGTATTCTACTTTGCCACAATAATAGATTTGATCTTAAGATTAATCGTATAAGCAGGGTGTTTACCAATCATCCAAACTTCATCAATAGATTGTACTGTGAAAAGTCAGTTCAGGCTAATTAGGTATCCACATATTGTACGTGACATAAATAATTCTTTTAATACTTAAATATTATTCAAATAGTACTCATTGTCAGTATTATTATTAAATATTACTCAAACCAAATTAATTCTGAGGTTTCCCTCTCGTTAGCGATTAACGTCTCACAGTATGCTCACAAACAGTCGTAAAATATACTAAATACTACATACAGTGCCCAACAAAAACTGGAACACCCTTGCAACGCAAATAAACTGGAAAAAGCACTCATGCGTATTAACTTTTAAACAACAAAATCTTAATTGATGCTGGAAAGAAAATCTTGCTTAAAAGTGTAATACCGACTTTGCAATGAATTACAGGGCTGATTCATGTCATTTTCTTTTTTCTATTCGGTCCTTTAAAGATTGGAAGTGAAACTTAGTTTTCAATCAATTACTGAAAAAACACTGAAGATATAGACGTAAAATTTGGTACAGAACAGTTACTTTATAGTATCTATCTACAAAATTTGAACAAAAACTAACCTGTGTCGTCGGAATCATGATGAATGAGCTAAATTCTTTTGCAAGTTTGGATGAGTCATTTTTAATTAAATTTTTTGACAAACTTCATTTTGTTTTGACAAAGACTGAAAGTTTGTCGCAACGTCGCTGTTATATTCCAACTTGCATATTGTAGAGGATTTTCGATGAGCTCCATTATCAAAAGAGGTTTACTATATTTACCAACCGAAAAGTTGGGAGATAATGTAATTCCAAGTGGAAATCTATCTTTAGAATATTAGAAAGAAAGATATGAATATTCTTGGAAAGTACTTATTACTTACATAAAATTCTCAATCCGATGAAAATTACACTTTCAATAGTTCTGTACTTTTCGATCGAGGTTTCGATCTTTAACAATAAAATTTTAAATTTATTTTGGAAGAAATAGCTACTTTCAGTAATCAACTATAATGGTGTCCAAATTGATCACAATTTTACCCATTATCATTAAAACCGATGTTTTCCTATGAATAGGCTTTGGATTAAAACAGGCGTAATTTGATGTTTATTGCCTACATTCTGTTTTTAGATTTTTATAATTTTCAGCAAATTATGATATCACGAAGTTTTATGTAATTTTGCATTTGACTGCATAACGTAGGTTCTTCAATAAAATAGGTACTAAAACCATGGAAGAAAATAAACCATGCTAAGATATAAGCATAGCTAATAATTTTGGATAAAACATTTAAAAAATGCATCCAGTATACTGGTACCGAAAATGAGAACCCTTACAAGAATAACTTTTATGTTAAAATTACGAAAAATCAAATGGGCTTTTTTTCTTTAAATTTAGCTGTTTTTAAAAATAAAGTTAACACTGTATGTATAGGAGAAGGCATCGTCAATTATTTAAATAACATAGAATATACAAGAAAACTAGCAAAATTAAATAAAATTTCCAAAAACTGAAATTGTTTACTGAAATCTAAATACTTAAATCTGCCTTTTTACTTCTTTTCTGTAAAGATTAAAGTAGTGCAAAATTACATCAGTTTTCCACTAAAAATAAATTTGGAAAGTATTTTGTATTCACAATAACCTTAATAGGTACTAAATATAAATATACTATTTCTTACTTTTAAATTGTTTCGTAAGTTTCTTATAAAAAATTACTGCTGACGTAGGTAACTTTTTTGTTTGATCTTAAGAAAAAAGTTTATTATAAGAGGTTCTTTGGGGGCATGGAAAATCAATAAAAAATCGTTTTTTTAAATAAATACTCTGTATTTTTAATGTCTTGGAATTTGTATTTTTATTAATTAAAAATATAAATATGTCGTCTGGTTGGTTCATAAGAGTTTTTCTAAATAAGATGTTTTATCGATACTAAGAATATTTCAGTGCACAAACGCACTCTCGTGCAACACCCGGTGTAATTCATTTAAGAATTTTATAATCTTTTCCTTAGGTACCTAATTATAATGAGTAATATAAAATAAAATGTCCCGTCTCGGATAAAATTTATATTTCTGAATCCAGAAAAACTTAAATTTATAATACAATTAAATACTTACAAGGTATATCATAGAAAAAATAATTTACGTCGCATATGCGATGTTCAATTGTTTTTAATTTTTTCTAAAACTGAATTTAGTGCTTCAAAGAGCAACAATACAACTTTTATGGAAACCTTTTCCTAGACAAAAAAAAAAAAAAGTTATTCGAATCATTGTCGTTTCGATCATTTTATAACACACGTTTTTCTGGATTGTATACTAAATTACTTAATATGTACCTATTATCGAGGCCCATTTTAAATTTTCCTGATTTTTCCATGGTTGTTGGACATCGTGTTTTAGTAAATTCCAGATTTCCATATCACTAATTTCAAATATTTTTAAATTTTTAAGTATTAGTATTGTTGAAAATCATTTGTGAAGTTACATTTTCATTTAACTTTTCATATCCGTGTTTGAATATTGTGAACGTGCAACGTTAGCAATTGTATATACATTTTAACGTAATACTGCCATCAGGCACTGTTGAACGATAAGGAAAAGCTAAAGGTTGTTGAAAGTTTTAATATTTAATGAGAATACGAAAATATGGGACCTCCGAGCTCATAGGGTGCTATACATGTAGGCGTGCGGAAGTATTCGACGTCACATTTGCGACACGTCAGCTGATTGCATAATAACAAAAGTGGGAGATACGGCAATCGTCTGTCAAAGCAAGTTCAAGGCCAAAAGTTGCATGTATCGGTGTTGGTGGATAGCCAGGACTAAGGATCGAGAAATACCGGGGCCGGCCCTGATAACACGGAAATGGTAAACAAACTACGGCACGTGGCTTCCTCCTGCCAAGACGGACAATTTAGGAGGTAGCTCATGGAAAACATCAAATGAAAAAGTAGAACTTACCGTCGGCTGCGCCCTGTAAGGTGTAGAAGGAGCCGGGGAACCTACAGCTGCTGAAGCGGGAGGACCTGGGGCATAACTCTGTTGTAAAGGTTTCTGAGATTGCCAGGCTTGACTATAATGTTGGTCAGGATGACCGAAGTTGTTCTGATATCGATGCTGCAAGGGGTTGTTGCTTTGTAAAAGCTGATTAAGAGTAGGCGTTGGGCCGGAGGGCTGAGAAATTGACGGTCCCCCTACGAATCGTTGATGGGGCTGATGTAATTGATGAGGTGATATCTGTTTCGGGCCGCCAAATGGTTGGCGAGGCCCGAACGCATGTATGCCCCCTTCGGCACTATTGTGCACGTCTCTGCTGTAAGGAAAACCGTAACCGTGACCGTCGACGGCGGATGATGGGGCTGGGGGACCTTCTACCGAATACAGATTTGAGTCTGTGGGACCCCCAGTACCCCCAGCCGACGAGTCAGACTCACCGCCAAGACCCGATTCCGAGGTGCTATTCGAACCCGGTGCACCAGAAGATGTTGGACCCGAACCAGCATTTGTTTGTCCAGAAACCGCCGTCGAGCCGCCACCACTGCCATCCTGGCGGTATTGACTCATTTCGATGGCAATGTTTTTGCCGCCGGTGTTTTTAGCCTTTGTATGCACTACACTGCCACCTCCGCGAACACCACTCTTTTCGGTTCCATTTTGCAACAAGGAATTCCGCACATTCAGATGCTGATCCGACTGCACTTTCTCACTATTCACGTCATTTTGATGCTTTTCAGCCTGCGTTGCAGCCATGTTAAGAAAAACGGCTGCGATCTAGCACGGCCGATCGTTGCCAACACCCCGCCGTTCTAGTCAACAACGGATGCTTTCCTTCATTTTGGGGGCCCAATTTGCACCCTGGTCCTTGCAAACACATAATAAATTACTCACTATATCACTTTCTATTCCGTAAATAAATAACGCCACCAAACTTTTTCAATAATCCAAAATGATGGACACATCTGACACACAACTTAATTCCGTATCTACTCCAATAACACGAATGGAGGTTATGGCGGTTATGGGTAAAGGTCTGTTTCCTACGCGAATATTTTATCTTGGAACGACATATTTTTACACACTAAACTTCCTTATTTTTATGTCTATTAACTCCGTCGTACTTAAAAAACATGTGTAACTTCACAACATTTAATTATTTCTACTATGACTTCAACAAACAATATAATAAATTTGGAACTATTTTTCTGTGCACTTACAATTATGTCTCTGTGGCGCTGATTCGTACTAGCAACTTGTAAACGCGCGTATTTTTCATAGACATAAGAAATGGCGCCCTGATTTAAATTTTACTGTAATAGGTATTCTCATACCAAATAGAATAAATTTTATGATACATAACTAAAATACATAATTTGTGTCATCAAATAATAAATAATTTACTGTACTTATTTTTGCATATTTGACATACAGATCAATACAAATAAATAACTCAAATAACCTCAAAAAATTTGAAAATTAACAAATGATTAAATATTTGAGTAAATTTGAAGTTATAAAAATAGATTCTTATGATATTTAGTTAAATAACAACAACCATAATATAAAATAATCTTTATTTCCAAGGAGTAAAAAAAATCAGTACATATTTACATATCTTGAAAATAAAACAAAAACAACTGTTTATCTTAACTAGATAATTTTGAGATTTTTTACCAATCAGGAATGTTAATATATTATTTATTTTTGTGAGATTATTTGAAATAATTTAAATATGTTTAATTTTTTTGTTTATTATGATGTATTATACTTTAAATTTTATATAAGGTTTTATTAAATTTGAAACACTAAAAAATTAATAACAGAATACATTTTTAAAATAAAAAATAACTGAATACATTAGTTTTAAAATAAGTGTCTAAAATAAGGTACGTATTTTTATCTCTACTCGATTTTGGTTAATGATGCCAATCAGAAATCTGTGGTATTCTATTTTACTCTTATTATTTTTCTAATTAGACCCCAATTTAGATATTTCACACTTATTTCCAAATTTCATTGATAAGATACAAATCTCCATAGTCACACTGATATTTTACACTATTAAACTTAAATTGAAAATACATATTGTTATTATGGTTTCATAAAAAAAAACAACATTACTGACTGTTTTATAAATATTCTTCCTTGTTCATTTCTGAATACATTTCCAATATATGAGTACAAATAAATTAACCAACTATTTTATACCTTCATTTACATTTTGTTTTATTAAACTGCAACTTTAATCATACCTGAAATGACTAAGAAAATAAAATTATACAGATTTTCATGTAACACAAAAATATTTGTTGCACAGATTGTCTGCATCAATTTCATTGAAACGATTAAAACTAATCGCTCATTTCATTAATAAGAATTAAGCAAAGCATGTTGAGAATACAGTTAGTTGAATACTTAAGACTGTCCAAAGTCTGAATCAGCATGCCATGGAATACCAGCTGAATCATTGTATTTGGTTTATCAAATCCATATGGCTCTTTCTTAATGAGCCAAACTCTACATTGTAGGTTATCCAGAATTTTATAAAATACAATTATTTTCATTAATTTGTTAACACTACAACTTATAAAGGTAAGAATTATAATATTTACTTAGTTTATACAATGTAAATTACATACCTAAATTTTATGCCGAAATCATAAGTTTTTACTATGTGTAGTAATATTAAAAGCTCTAAAATAATTTCAAATTAATTTAAGATATTTTTGTCATTTTTGTGTCTTACTAAAACACTCATGACTTTTACTTCAAACTGATGACAATATAATCGGCAAATATAAAAATTATAAGAAAGTGGTACATTAAATATAAATTGACTTTTATTAAGTACATATAAAACATATTACTATATAGAATGTGATAATTTTATTGCAATTTAAATAATTAAAATTCCTATTGGTAGTAAGGTCTTCAGAGCTATAAAATAAAACAGTTATATAGATGTGCTACACAATGAAAATTACTTATTGATAAATATATAAAATATAACTAGTATCAATTTTGCTTGTTAATTTTGAGGAATATAATTTCTGTGGTATCTTGTAAATATTAAAGATGTCACAGTTTGATAATGAAGCATGGAACCCTTACCATTTTTTAAGAAATTACTTTTATTCTTATATAGAAAACTCATGAACAAATTTGCCAAATAAAAAATTAAAATAGGTACATACCATTTCAAAAATTTTATCATAATGGTAATGTTTTTTTTTGTTTTTAACATAATTAAGTTCTTGGTAGATATACCTATATATATTTTAATTTTATAAACATTCCATTTTTCAAACTTCACAATATTCTAACTTAAATATTGTATAAAGTGAAATTTTGTCAAAAATAAAAAATATATATTTGGACCTACTACTAAATAAATGTATTTTGCAAATATATATGCAACCAAAATCCCAGAGTTGCCAATCCCTCATTCAATTTTTTATTTTTTACATTTTTCTAGTGTTTTACCGGGATTTTCTATGATGCCTAGTCATCATTCTCTAAAAAACGATACATTATCAAAATATGACCACTTCAATTCTCATCAGCCATACCACTAGTTAGTATTTCCATATTCTAATATTTAAATTGCAACTTTAATTCGCCTATGCTTTAATATGATGAACTGTTTGATTCCATTCCACATCAGTCAAGTTTGAAGAAAATTTACCCATGGTAATGCCAAATCAGCATAGATGGACCACAGAAATCAAATTGGTAGCATTAAAGAAAGTCGATGGCCAAATCATGATTGATCCTTTTATCACGTCTGCATGACTGGTTGTCTATTTCTAAAAATATGTATATTTAATAAATATAATCTACAATTTGTACATTCAATAAATAAAAAATAATTTATACATTAACAAGGATTGTAAAGATAAATAAATAGATAAATCATTTTTTTAATTAAATTTTAAGTTTTGCTTAAATAGAAAGTAATTCCTCATGTATTTTGTAGGCAACTTAGACTACTTAGAGGTCTAAAAAACTTTTTGAACGCATCCTCACAGTTTTTTTAGATCCTAGTGGTGAATCAAACAATTATGATTAGCAAATAGAATCTCTTCGGAATTTAATTAACATCTTAAAATTAAATGATGCTAATAAGCCATTAGAAATAGGTAACATTAATACATAAACTTTATAGAAATTAATCACCAACCAAATATTTAATTTTTTTTCTTATTTTTAATAACAGGTTAAATAGTGATACAAACATATTTCATTTTTTTTTAACAGCATTTATCGTTCTTACTGCTACAACCACTATTTTTCGGTAACTGTAAATATGAATTTTATAAACATTTACAGTTTAATCAAACTCATCTTGTCAGTGAAATGCACAGTCCCAGAAAAGTCAGCAGTAGGAGTGACAGCCAGGAAACCTTAATAATAGTATAAGTATCTTCTGTGGAAGACTTTACTTAGGTCTGGTAAGTTATTTCCTGAAGGTAGGTATATTATATATTTAAATATATGAGCAAATTACCTCTGCTTATATGACCAGATCAAGTTATATATGGAATATTTGTTTACATCTTCATACAAATAAAGGTTTTTAGACTATCTACATACAGTACAATTAAAAAATGGGACACCTTACAGATAAAGAAATCGGAAATTAAGAAATTTTCTACCTTAATAGCTCAGGAAATATGGATATGATGAACTACTCTGCTATAGGTTTCCATTGTATGTGTACACATGGTTCAAAGATAAGCTTTTTTTAAGGAATGGTGCACACTCCCATTTTCGAAGAAAATCTAGATATTTAGAAAAGGGTTGTACATATATTGAAAAGTATATTTTTTCTTTTTTTTTTTCATATTCAACTTATCGAGGCAAACAGGGGTTTTTCTTATTCTTCACGAAATTTTAATTTTCCTTAGTTCCATTACGAATTAAATTTTTTTTGCAAATACAATATTAAATAGAATATAATTATTAAAAATTAAAAATAATCATTGGTATGTGAATTTTCTGAGGGTTGGCAAGGGGTAAAACTTAATCCCACAGATTTTTTCCACTCTCCTATGATTACTCTGATTTTAAAGCTGTATTTGCAACAAATTTCTATAATTTTTTAATAAAATAATTTTTATAAATTATTTTTAAATTATACAACTGTAATAGTAAATTTATTTTAAGCTAAAAAAAAATTAAGATATATTTTTTTGTTGAAATACAGTTAAAAATCAAATAGATTGATTGAATTTCCCAAAATACTTAATGGCATAAAAATTCTAGTTTTTAGTCATGTGTGACTCAGTGACTTAATCAAAACACCATCCTAAGTTTAATAAATTTACATCAAACTAACTACTACGATACAATCCCATTACTTTGGTTTAAATTTAATGTTTAATTCTATATTTTCACGAACTAGTTGAATATTTTTCAAACTAAATAAATACATAAGAAAAAACCAACAAATAAATAAATAAGAATGAACGAATGAAGTAGGTATATTGATACTTCATTAGGTACTTCCTCCTAATTTATCCTGAAATTACCTACCTAAAAAAACATTAATCAATTTCTTGGTCATTTTTTACATTTCTTTTTTGTAAATATCACTGTTCTATTTACAAATATGTCATGTACATCTATATATAGCTGTACTTAATGGAAACTCATTATATTTTAAAGCAACGATTTCCATTACTAATGCTGCTTTATGCGATATTGCCATTTTTCTGAAACAGATAATACAGACATTACCAAGATATGACTTTCTCTTTATGTTGAGACATTAATTTAGATACATAGGTATATAAAGATTTTTGGGTATTTGACATGTTAAGACTATAAAGTATTTTGAACTAGTGAGCTACTACAGGGCAGTAGTGAAATGTCGTCCATGACACCCTAGCTCCTACATGGGTCAGTTTACATATATGAAATTATAATAAAAATGACAATTAACAATAACAGTTAACATATTTAAACGTTTTTCCCAAAAAAAAAACATTAAACTCTTTGTTCGATTTATATGTTGTTTTTCAGGTGCAAATAGGTTTTTCAATTTATAGAGCATGTATTAAGTACAATATTTCGTCTTCATAAAATTTGTATAAATGTTAAAACTTATAAATATAAAATTTGTATATGCTGTTGAAAAGTTACTAATCTAAAATTAGAATTATATAACAACCAAAAATATATCATATACCTGCAGACCTAAAAAGTATTATTCAATATTCTCCTTTCTGTATATTTTTTACAAAGTTAAATTAAAAACATACTTAAATTTATTATTTATGTATATTTACTTGATGTTTACGTTAGAAAGAAATTATAAATTATAAAACATTATACCTTGGAAAAGTAAATGTATAAAACACGTACAAAACCTAACCTAAGGTTAGAACCACAGACCACAGATAAGTAAAAGTAGTTAAAGGACTAGACCACGGCCTGAGAACTCTTATGGGAGTGTAAGGGACCTGGCTGTTAGTTCCACTACATCTCGCGTGGCGTCGCTGACATAGCTACTAAGATGGCACAGCCAATAGGAATTCAGTATTAATACAGCCAATAGGAAATTCAGTATTAAAATAACTATGTAAACAAAACTAGAACGTGGATAATTTGATTAATTTGTATTCTGTTGCTCTTGTAATTTTATTCATTTTCGTGTTGTATTTGTGTGTGCTATCGGGTTTGTGTCCTAGCCTGAAGAGCCTTGCAATATTTTGTGATTGTGATTATTTTTTGACTTTTTGAAGTGTGTGTGAAGATTGAATAATAGCAATAAGGTAAAATAATTATTAACGTAAATCTTCATTAGTGCCATGAAAGTCTCTGTTGCAGCCCAAGTCCTTAGCCATTCGATGGCCTCAGTAATGGCATTGATGTGTAGGAAAGGTACATATTAATTCTTTTACTTAACGTAAATATAAAATTTTTAATATATGTACTTAATAATTTATTTGCTACTTTGGTTTACGTTTTAAAATATGTCAATTTTAATCATGTATAATTTTTAGGAATCGCTCAAGACCCAGAATGTGGACAGACTGCTTCAGTGTTAAAATTTTTTGATACACTCTTTGACAGTGTTAATGGTGCTACCAGATATGAGAGTGGCGGAAAAAACTTAATATGTGCTATAACAAATTCTTCTGGACACATAGAATACTGGAATGAAATAAGGCAAGACCTATCCAATATGTTTTTTATAGATGCAAATGGCAGAAAAACATTCCCACCATCTCTAAAAAACTGGAAAATAACCCTTAATGGATTGACATATTTGTTTGGTTACTTGAAAAAATTTGATATTAATTTTGCCCCCGCGAAATTATTCAAGACCCTGTTGAAAACTTTTTTGGCCAATTGCGCCAACATGGGGGTCGTAATATTAATCCAAATTGTTCCATGTTTAAAAATTATTTTAAAACATTATTTATTAATAATTTAATATCGAAACACTCCATCGGAGCGAATTGTGAAAAAGACGACAATATTAAATTAGTCGAAAACGTCAAAATATTTTGTAACTCAGGGTATTCCTGAGGAAGACACAAATGATGAAGTGTTAAGCATATTAAGAAATATAAATGTTGAAATGAAACCTTGGACATACATCGACAAAATCAGTCTAGGGTATGTCGCAGGTTTCATTTCAAAACATCTAAAAACTATAAATAGTTGCGAAGCTTGCAAAAATAATATTATTTGTAGACATTTCATCGGAATGGAATGACTTAATATTACAAAAAGATATACTAAAGGCATTCCTAATAAATTAAAAAAATGTACTCCTGCATTCTTAGAAGTTATAAAAAATATATACAATATTACAATGAAAACATTACCAGAAATATGTGAGTGGAATAAATGTATTTATTTTCTACAAGTTTACTTAAATGAGGTAATATTTTTTAATTTTAAATTTTCGTGCGATCACATACATGAGGTGAAAAGGACAATTATCAAAAAATTTTCCTTTTTAATTTGTTTTAATTGGGCTTCGGTACTCAACAAGGTACTATCTGTAAAAACAAGTAAAGTAGGCTTAAATGATAAAATATATGCACAAGCTAAACAATATTCTGAGAAAAGATTAAAAAATAAATAAAATTTATATTGTTAAATCATTTTCTTATTTATACCTGTATATCGTGTGCTTTTGTATGTTTTACTGACAGTATCTATACAGAGTTTTGCTTATTTTTCAGATATGAATAATTTTAGCTGTACATATAGAAATATCAGCGACAGGTGGTGAAAATCAAAGTAGTCATAATATATTCATAATTGAAAATAAAATTAGCTGTACCCTATGTATATGTAGAGTTACAACTGTTCCTGCAAACTTTGTTATTAAACTATTATAATCATATTTTGGATTTAGAAGTGGGTTATTAAATTTCGTAATTATAGTCCTAGTTCCTTTTATAGAAATATGAGTATTTCAGTTTATAATTACATTGTTTCTTATTTGTCAATTTATTAGTTAATTGTATCTCATATCTTGTATACCCTATAACGATATATTATAATTCATTTTTTGAATGTGAATAAATAATAAAATGTTTCTTCACTATATGCATATAACAGCAGTATTTTATAAATAATGATATTTATTATTTTGTTTTTTGCTGTAATTGGTAGTTTTGAGCAATACAGTTTATTATATTATTATGCTTAGAATAAAAAACGTAATAACACCAACTGCATTTTATTTCTGTTGTAAACATTTTAATTTAAGTGATATTTAATTTAAATATGTGTCAACAAGTAGAAAATTTTAAAAATTCCTACTTGTTGATGAATATATTTAAAATTAAAATTAAGATAAATTCAAATTTAAACTAGAACCTGGGAAAGGCTGCCGAAAATAATTCCACTACATCTCAGGAGGTGGCGCTGGCCGCGTCGCATTTTTTACTATGGGAGTTTCAAATCTAAACTCTACCTAATCTATGGACTAGACTATATAGAACGCCTAACGCCACGATATAGAAACTAAGTGCCTTATATAACCGACGGACCACTTTCCGCCATCTGTTGGTGACATTTTGCCAATCGTTAACAATTGCTTACAAGTATATTTTACAAAAATTATTATTTTTTCCTATAGTCTTCTTGAAGCTGTTAATTTATTAGTGTATCTACTGGTAAATAATAAATACACGCTTGTATAGACAATAAGTAAAAATTATTAAATTGGTATAACTTTATAATATTTACGATCAACAATCTACAACTTACATATAATATTTATTTGTCAATAAAAATACAGAAAGTATTATCAGACATTTATGTCAATTTACATAATATATAAATAAACAGCTAAAAACATGCATTTTTTTAGATTTGTGCGCCGCCGCGCCTTTATTCCATGGCTAGAAATTGGCCTCAATGATTTGGGATCGAGGGGGATTATCCCTCTTTATCCTGCCTCATCTCGTGTAGGCCTGGACAGCCTTCGTAGGTGGGCCCCATCCGTCGTCTACCCCGACCGCAAATGCGGTCGGTGTAGGCGCTTTGTGGGACCTCCTTTTGTCCTGGCTGGGCCCCGCCGGCTAGGGCCCTTTCTTCTGGCGCTCTTCTTGCTTCGCCGGCTCGTCTGTGTAAACCCCGGGGGTGGTGTCATGTTTATGTGTGGTATGGTTGGGTTGAGTAGTGCGGCTATGCAGCCTGGGATGCGCGTTGCTAAGGTGGCCCTTAGGCTAGCACGGGAGGGGAGGAGAGATTTGTGCGTCAACAATTGGTACGATAATAACACCTATAATAAAAAAATGGTGTAAAAATGTAGCAAATCACATTTTTTTTATTGAATATTCCGTATTTTATCATGTAAAAGATTGCAGTTTCTTGACACAAGACAGAAGTGTTGCATATCATGGATGCCATTGGCAGTGCTTGTGTTTATTTTCGACATTACAGACTTCGGACTGTTTGCATTCAACGCAGAACGGACAATCAACGTCGGGGGCGTAGGGTAGATTTTTTAAATTATTTTTTCGATTCGTTTCCGCGGGATACTTAAAACCTGTTTTACTATCTGGCGTTACACACCTCTTGTTTCCGAAATTTATTTTCGACATATGAGGGACCTTTTGCATTCAACGCAGAATGTACAATCAGAACCTGGGGTTAGGGGAGAATTTTTTAATTATTTTTTTTTTTTACCTGAAAATTTACAAGTATTGAAAGAAAAATACAGGACGAAATGCTTGATAATTTTGAATTTGTTTTTGAAGCAATTAATAGTAAATTAAAACATATTTTCAACAGTATCATCACAATTACTTGCATGTTGATTTGTAAAAATTGTAGGTATTTTTATTTTATTTCGTTTTTAGGTACCTATTCTCCTTATGTTGTTGTAAAGGTTAGTTATAAAAATCGTTGTTTGTTATTTTCATAAGGATTAATTTTAATTTTTTTAATGATTTTTTTTATTTTAAACATAATATATTTTATGCCAGCAAATTTTGATGTCAAATGAAATAAAGGAAAAGCCGTACATTTGTATTTAAAGTTTCTTTCTATCTTTAATTATTAAACCTATAAGTGGATGTCAAAATACAAAAAAAACCCTGTACCTACATTCCGCGACGTACTAATAACCCACCTTGTATATTAAATAAATTTATCGTCATCATCAAATATTAAAAAAATATATATTACAAGCTGTTTAAAATATTATTACGAATTTTGTTTATTTGGAAATATATTTTCTGCAGTATTTTAATACCAAAAAATGAAAATAGTAGGTAGCTAATTAATGAAATTATGATTAAATAACTTAATTGTAACACCGCTGCAGAATATGAAACTACATAGATACTCGTTGATTCTTTAAAAACATTTTTATCAATATCTATATCATACATTTAAGTAAATACCCTATATCATACATTTAAGTAAATACAGTAACGCAAAAAACGATATTGATAAAAAAGTGTACAAAAGAAATCCGTAAGTACGCCTGGCAACATTACCAAAGTCTTGTTTATATGTTGCTAGGATACGCGTAGGTATGCGGTCCGCTGCATTTGATTCTTCCTAAAATTCTGCTGGTGGTGTACTCTACCAGCAATTCGGAAATTTAAAACTGCTGGCCTATTCCAGTAGCGGTCTGTGGCGATAGCTATTTTGTCTGTGGTTA